AGAGCTGCCTGGCAATTACTAGTCCAATTAAAACTAACTACTTTTTTAAATAAATTAGTTAGAGGCCCAGTAAGAACTGCAAAGTCTGGCACAAACTTCGAACAGAAGCCACAGATAGATAGACGGATATATACCATTCCTTGGCCAACCTGATGACCTAGGTAGGTTACTTGGCCCCTACCAATTTTACACTTGGACAGAATTGCTATTACATTCACCCTTTGTGACTATTAAAACAGCAGAAACCATATTCAGAGCACTCTGGAAAGTAGCAGGAACATTTTTCATGCCGACGAGAAGAACTCGGCAATGGTAAAGCCCATCCAGCGTCACAAAAGCAGAGACCTCCTGAGCCTTTTTCAGGGTACTGGGCAGAAAACGGTTTTGTCATAGTTTTCAGGGTATATTATATGCGGTATATAATTTGCGGATGAAGTAATCTGATAAATCCCCAGTTTACACGTTGCTTCCTGAAACAGCCCAGCTACAAAATTAGAGCACCGATCTGACTGTGCCTCTTTCGGCAGCCCAAAATGTGAAAAAACGTAATCAACCCACCTATGATAGTCCTAGCTTGAATATTCCTCAAAGGCACTGCCTCTGTGAAGAAGTATTAACATCCATAATGAAAAAGGCTGTTCCACTACAGGGAGAGGGCTTAAAGGAGCCACCGGAATCTTCTGATTTGGCTTCCCCACCACTTGGCATGTGTGACATGAACAGCAAAAGCAACCACACCTTATGTAATTAAGGACAATAAAAATGCTTCAAAGTTTTAGCCTGAGTTTTATGTATACCTACATGTCCTGCCATTGGCAACACATGAGCCCTGTGCAACACCTCCACATGAAAGTAAACAGGCAAAACAACCTGATTCATGACTCTCCAATCCTCAATAGCTGGTGCATCTGGAGCTCTCTATTTATGCATTAAAATGTCACTGTATATTTCACCCTTCAGCCCTGACTCTCTTCAACAGAAACAGCCATCTTCCTAAAAGAAGCCAACATAGGATACTTTTTTTCTGCTCCTCAATAAGAGGAGGCCAACTAAACTGCTTGTGATCCATACCTCCTAACAACTCTGAGAAAAAGGTCTGCCAGCTCTACATTAAATTACGTCATATGATACCTTTGGCCTTGCTTTCCCTTTCACAACTGGGAATGAGTTACCACACAAGCAGAAAAACCTCAGGATGCTCTTTCTGGAGAGCCAGAGTTTTAGGGCTGCTACAAGGTATCACCACAGGTGTTACATAGACCTGGTCACCTGCTAAGTCATTGCCTAGCAAAAAATTAACTCCTCTACTGCCAATGAAAGTACTATTCCTGCAGTCACATAACCCATGATTAACTCAGACCTCAGAAACACAGTGACTCTCCAGCTGCTGTTTTACTTCACTCAAACTCCAGCCTTGCCAAATCTATTTGTTGCTCCTCTTGCTCCTTCCTTAAAGCCATTTCTCCTTTACGTCTAGCTTCCTCCACTACCATTTCCCTGTCATACTGAATATTCAGTCTTTAATGCTAACTGACCCTGTTTTACCAAAAACACAGCCTATACAAGAGCCACTAGTTCCCAATATGACAACCACCAACACTAAACATTACATATACAATCCCTAGATGAGCTACCCAACTGTTACGACCCAAAACTCTTTAACCCCTACTCACTAAATTCCCTTTTTCACTGATCTTACTGTCTAAACTAACCAAGAAATGGTTAAGGGGACAGGGCTGAACTTTACTGACCCTAAGTGAAGCAAAGGATGTGAGTGTAACCTAATGTAATGCATTTAATCAAATCTACTGGCTGGGAAACCCACCTGGAGAGACACAAACTCAGGCCCCAAGCTTGGTGTGTCGTCATCGTGACTCAGTTCAGGTTTGATATTAAAATAAAAGGGTGGGGGGGCAATCCTAAAGTAGGTAAAACCAAGCAAAAATCCACAAAGACGAAGAGATGAAGAATCACTGGTCAAAACCTGCGCGCTACCTGGCATCTGACGACGGTTTGTGACATCGCCTGCTCTGCTTCCGGAAAACATCTACATAGTGTTTTGTAGCCAGCGCCTCCCTGTGGTTCTGGCTTGAAATATCAGTCACTGTCCCTAGGGTTTTCCAACACCTGCCAATGCTCACTTCGCAGGTCCAGCAAACTGAACCCTGCAGAGACGTCGGGCCAGTCCAAGGCACCATCAGTGCGCAGGAGTGGATATGAGTCAGGCTTAGTTATAGCATTGAGCCGCTGGTAGTCCACGCAAAACTGCCAACTTTTGTCCTTTTTCTTTGCTAGGACCACCAGTGCTGTCCAAGGGCTACTCGACATCTCGATAACCGCTGCTGCTGCCATCTCCTTTATTTTCTGTTCAGCAGCCCATTTCTTTACTAATGGGAGCTGATGGGAATGGAGCCGAATTGGCCCATGTACAATCCGTCTCTGTAGCTGGGAAACAGGGTAATTTAGTGACTAGGAGTTAAGGAGTATTGGGTTTTAGCAGTTGGGTAGCTCGTCCAGGGATTATGTATGTAATAGTTAGTGTTGGTGGTTGTTGTACTGGGAACTCTTGGCTCTTGTATGGGCTGTGTGGTTTGTACAACAACTGAAAAATTCCCACAATCAGCTAAAACTAACGCACTCTGGTGCCATAACTCATGCACCACTTCCACTGTAGTGAAAACTTCTGCTGTACTCACTGGTGCTGTCCTCTACACTGTCCATTGTGCCATTGATGAAGATGGAAGTGCTGCTCATGTGTGCCACCCACAACCCTTGAGGATCAGTTCAAAGTCTCTAGCACTGCATGTTCAGCTCCTCTAGTGCCAATGACTTCACCCACAAAAAGTTGTGGTTCTCTTGCCATGACATCACACCCAGCCCCTGAGCTTCTGTCCAAGGACACTAGCGCTGCATGTTCATCTCCTTTAGTGCCAATGATTCCCCTCATGTGGAATGAAGTCTTTGCTGCTAGGGAGCTTCGACCCTCCACCTAGATTTCACTGCTGAATTCTGTTCGCCAGTCTCCTCGTCTCCACTCCAGACTCAGTGTAGCTTTCGCGAGGTCAATCATGACTTCTGTCACCACCAGGAAGTCAAGTATGCAGCCTTCTTGTACAGGTGCAAGCCAGAATTCGTGCACCCAGTTTAGACATCTCAGGATGACCGGAAGCCGCTTTCTTCCTCTCGTGTTGACTCAGCTGCTGGTAAGAGAGCCGAGCTGGACTGTGGCAGCCTCGCAGTCGTCTGGTGTATATCTTCCAGTGTGGGAAGGCACCTCTGGTCACAGCAGGGAGATTGTCAGGCCTGTGTTAGTGAGCACAGTGAGCCATTCACGATTGATGCAGCACTCCATCTAAAGCCCTGTCTAGCCGCAATGTTGAGCCATTCGCACTTGCACGAAACAGGGTTCCCAGACACCTTCACCATAGCTTGGCAGTCGAATATGCATTGGTCGTGCCCCACCATGTCCCAGATGGATGCTGCCATCCCTGTCCTCTCTGCCCCTGGCTGCCGCCGTGCTGTATCTTTCATCGTCTTTGCCGGCCACCATTGCGCCGCTTTCTTCCTCAATCAACTGGTGTTTTTTCTCTGCCGCTCGCTTGTAAGTTCACTGAAGTGCCACTCAACTTCTAGCCACTCGACAGCGCTCTCTAACTTCTGACACCTAAATGTAGCACATTGGCAAAAAGAAGATGCGGAAGAGAACATGATCTCTGCTACGAGAAGTGCTCTTGATTAACACCAGCAGAAAAGGCACATAACATAGCTGAGGATAACAGGAAAGGTCACTACTAGCCATAGACCACTGTAGTCATGTCATCATTTTATAGTCAGCACCATGCTCTTATGCCCATATTAGGAACTCCAGGCCCATTTCTCTATGACCAGAATGAAAAAATCGACCCTATCGCACCCTGTGTTAAATAAAAATGTTCAGAACTCGATACGTTTTCTCCTGTGAACATTCTTCTCTCGTATACCACTGGATCCTCCGAATTACGAGGTCATTAAAGAGTTGAAATATGAATATTGCTACATTTAAAGCTACTTACTTTTACTAAAAGCTACTGCGCAATGAATTCACGTCATTAGACTGGCAGTCTCCTTAAGCTGGTTTTGGCAGTGTACATTTCCATTTACAGACTGAGGGCAGATGAGTATTTTTGATAAGGAGTTTTAGCCTATCAAAATATCCTACATGGAGATTTTATTTACGGGTATACCTGTAAATATGCGCTTCGATAGAACATTTCGATAAGGTAGCACAGCTCGCCAGAGCACAGCCACAGCCTGCCTTAGTTTCGTTTAGCTTAGTGACATCAAATTGATGCGCAGTAGCTTTAGCTCGCATGTAGCAATATTAGCATTATAGCTCTCTAATGACCTTGTAATTCGGAGGATCCAGTGGTATTCGGGAGAAAAATGTACACAGAACAAAACGTATCGGGTTCTGAACATTATTATTTAACACAGAGGGCGATAGAGCTGATTTTTCAGAAACCCTATTCTTTCTGGCCATAGAGAAAAATGGCCATACAAATACAGAATGACGCACGACTACAGTGATCTATAGCTCTTCCCTCTATAGTAGATGCAAAGCCACTCTAACTAACCCCAATGCCCAACACAAAATAACATAACATAGACACACCTTTAGCTAATGAACAGCGACATTATAACAACTAACAACATTAAATAAGAGCATTTAACATCCCTTTAGCGAAGGGAGCAGGGCACAAGGCGCAGCTCTGCATACTGAGCTCCCTTCCTGAAACTGGTGCCAGTGGAAGCCACCACAATAGTAATGTGTTTAAGAGCTCCACAGAGCATAAAGCCATGTTTTTTTGTTTTTTTTTTAACAATAACAAAACTTTGGTTTAGCAGCTCACACTACTACATTCTGTTTGGTTGATGTTCAAAATAATCATGTCTTGCAATGTGACACTTCCCTAAAGAGATGATCAGTGCTCTTTAATGGTGGTGATGCATGCATGTGACAGGTTGGAGTTACAGAAAAGAACTACAGGTGGACATTACTGCACCAGAGGGGGCGCAGGAGCAGTGAAGCTTGAGGAATCCATACCAATCCATTAAATCAATTCCTAAGGTGAGGCCGAGCTGACTCTTGCTGAAATGGAACTTGAATGGCCATATAGCACAAAATAATTATATATGCTGATCAAGAGGGCACTTGTACAGTGTAAGGGCAAAAAGGCAGGGGCTCAAGCCCCACTAAGCACTGTCTTTGCTCGTTCCTGGAGGTCATCATGGAGGAAAACGCTTCCCATTAAGCTTCAGATAGTTGCCAATCAAGCTGGAAGATTTAAATGTCAGAAACCTTGCTGTCTGCATCTTTGAGATGTCAAAAGTCTGTCTTCCAATCTTTATTTTCTTTTTAATGTGTACTCCACATTCATATTAGTCTAAATACATTGTGTGGCTTCAGAACATTCGATAGCAGCTCAAGGCTGTTAGCTGAACAGAAAAAGTCATGCTGCAGCCTTCCACACACAAGTTTCTGAGCAGAATTCAAGCATATTTATTTTCTCCAGTTTACTTCAGCTACAGGGTAGAAAGGGTTTCTGGAGAAAGTCAGCGTTGGTGGCTGGAAAACAAGCTCACACTGAGCACTGGTGACACAGGAAAGTAGGACGACGTAGGAAAGCAGCCTGCCCCCTGCCCCCAACACACTGCCCCCTAGAGCGATATGGCAAAAGTGTAATATCACAATACTTTTGAGAAGTTTTCATGATACATGACATTTCATGATACTTATGTTTTTCTGACATCTAACAAGTTGGAACAGACAAAATAGTGGCAAATTTAAAAATACTACATAAAACAATGAATACAATGAGTTTTCTTCAACATTCTCATACTGTGCTGTATAAAATCCATTTAAATGTGACTGCTGCTCTCTTTGTAATCAAACATGCAGTTAAGAAATGTGCTGATGATATCCACAGTATTCTCAGAGAGGTATACAGTGACATAATTTATCACAATGCCAAGCCCTTCTGCCCCCCAAAACCAAACAGCAGCAGCTATGGAGCATACAGTATAATGCACATAATCTTGCAAGCCTACTCCTAGGGCTGTCACAATCATGCTGACGTTTATCATGTAAAAAATTGCGAATAATTATTTAATTGTCTTTTCTTGTTCATTGTTTGCAACAACTACAATACAAGCCTAAACTGCCTGACTAACCACCTTACTTGCTGGCTATATTTACTTAGTAGCAAACACTGGTTGTACTGTCATACAGTGCTATGCAATCACACAAACGTCTAAATATAAGTAAGCAAAGCTAAAAGAGTAAAAAAAAACTGTTTATACTTTACATTTATTTGCCTCTACCCACCATACTCAAAAGAATAATATGACTGAAATCTAACAACTGTGGAAAATGATTCCAGTCAGCTTAAAAAATTGGGACAATCTCAAATAATTGTGATCAAGCGATTATGTAATAATTGTGACAGGCCTACTCCCCATCTGAACTAAACCATGTCTCACATCACAATGTCCCACAGAACAAGTAGTACACTGTTCTCTGGACTGATGAGACAAAGTTAAACATCTTGATAAAAGTACGCAGCATTTTGTCAGGAGAAAACTAAATACTCCAAACCACCACTAAAACATCAACCCAAATATGAAGCATGGTGGAGGGAGGGTAATGGCATTTGTCTGCTCTGCCACCTGTACTGCAGACTTTCAAAAGAAGGTGTCAATTCTCTCACAGCGTTCAGTTCCTGTACGTGAGAGATAAAAGAGCATGAGAAATACATGAAGGTAACGGGGAGGGGATTTACAAGAACAGCGTACAGAACAGAGCTGTTTGGAATTGTTCAGCTCAGTCTTGCTACCTGTAGCTCATTTACATTCTGATCTGACCAAAGAAATGGGTATGTAAAGGCATTTTTCAAACCTTGAGTTAAGTAACTACTTTTTCATTTATTGGACTTAGAGCTAGTCATCATTCAAAGCATTGTACTGTAAATTTAGTAGATATGTATTTATGATTTTTCTTTTCTTCAGAACAAGTTCCTTTTTTCATGTGTTATCAAATAATACACTGCGGAAACAGATGTGACATTGGACAAGCTGAGTACTGATCTGTTCTTTACTGTCTTTTCTTTCCAGAAAGTGATCCTCCATATGTATACAGTGACGATTATGATGAAATATGTCACAAAGAAACTGTGGCCAAAGTTGGATCCATTGCAGTTCCTTTATTCTTTTCCATTGTGGTCCTTTTCAGTCTTGTTGGTAACATACTGGTTCTTGTCATTCTTGGCCTCTACGAGACCCTCAGATCACTGACCAACATCTTCATCCTCAACTTGGCTCTCTCTGACCTGATGTTCACTCTGGGACTTCCATTTTGGTCCTCTTACTACATCTGGGGCTGGACCTTTGGTGATGCAGTGTGCAAAGGGGTCAATTTTGTCTTCTCAGCTGGATATTACAGTAGCATTGTGTTCCTGATGCTGATGACCATTCAGCGCTATGCAGCAGTGGTCTATCCTTTGTCTAAATGGGAGGGAGGACAGAGGTTTGCAGTTGTTTCCATCGTTGCCTGGATGGTGAGCTTTTTAGCAGCAATACCAGCCGTACTGTACAGTGAAGTCATGTCTGACCCAGAAGACCCTAACAAACTTTACTGTGAGTATAACAGCATTAAAACCACTGTTGCCGTTACATATGAACAGAACGTCATTTTTGTAAGTGCTTTTCTAGTAATGGGTTTTTGCTACTTAAGAATTCTTCAGACTGTCCTTAAATCCCAAACAAGGAAAAGACACAGGACTATAAGACTCATCTTCTGCATTGTGGTGGTCTTCTTTATCGGCTGGGCTCCTTATAACATTGTGATATTTCTGCAGACCTTCACTTACCATCAGATTGACCCTTTTATGGAATGGTATGTCACCGATAATTTAGAATATGCAGATTATGCCTGCAGACTGCTCGCTTTTTCCCACTGCTGTCTCAACCCAGTGTTTTATGTTTTTGTTGGTGTAAAATTCCAAAATCATTTGAAGATGATTGTACAAAAACTTTTCCATGGGCAAAGCAACATGGACCTCCAACGGCCGCGAAAAGCAGCTCAGAGTTCACAGGGCTCCATGTATGGATACGGAGACAACCACTGTCAGACTCTTTGTACAAATATAAGTGTCTAAGTAAATGTTAGAAATGATCTGAAATGTATTTTTACTTTTAGTGCAATAAATCAACAAGCTCATGTTACAGCAGTAATGACGATTTTAAGGGAGCTGGACAGCTACCAATCAAACTGGAAGGCTGGAACTTTGAGAAAACCTCTGAAAACAATGAGAAATGTCAGCTAGTTTCTTGCAAGGCTTTTTGTACATAAATAATATTGTGTAGAAATATTTGGCTTAGAGCCCTGTGATGGACTGGTGACCTGTCCAGGGTGTATCCTGCCTTCCGCCCAATGACAGCTGGGATAGACTCCAGCACCCCACTGTGACCCAGAAGGATAAGCGGATAGAGGATGTGTGTGTGTGTGTGTGTGTATTTGGCTTAGAGAAAACAGAATGATAAAACCTATAATAATCTCTAAAATACGCTACATAATAAAATGACTCATGAGAACTTTATGTTGTAGCTGTATATACTGCATATATTTATACCATAATAATTAGTATTCCACCATAAGTCCATTCATTTGAATAGTACGTATAGCACAGTGGCATGTGGTTTTGAATGCAACCTAGAATAGAGCTCTGAATTCGTGTGTCATTCTCTAGTCGGCAACATGCCCAACTTCAGTTCTAAGCTGGATTTCCCTATGACAGAAATGAATAAAAATTTTTGAAAATCTACATTTTGATACAACATTTTGCCCTATGTACATTTGTGACCGGATCCTCTGAGTTTCGGGGTTGTTAAGACATAAATATGAACATTGCCACATCCACGGTAATAGTGATCTAACACTCCTGCACATTGAAAAGACTTTGCATGAAAGTCTACTATTAACCCTTGTGTGGTGTTGATGTATTTGTTATTCAGTAGATCTGTACGACCCACCGCATTATTGTTTTTTAAAATGATAAAAAAAATGTGTTATTTTATAGGTTCTTCACAGAAAATGAGCAAAGGCCAAGGAATCTGAGGTTGAAATAATAAATTGCATCATTTATTCTTTTGGTAAACATTGAAAATGGGTCTGACAGACCTGAACACCACACAAGGGTTAAACTTCAACACAAGCAACTCCTAATGTACTCTACTACTGCCTAAGTAACTTGACTAGCACACTCGACAGAGATCACTGGTTTCTGTTGGGTATTTCAGTGAGGTTTCCAGTTTTATGATGTCAGTTCAGCAGTGTTACCTGTGTGTAGTAAAATTCATATTTCGACTCCTTAACAACCACATAATTCAGATCCAGTGACATTCAGTGAAAAGATGTACGTGGGATAAAACACATCGTGTTTGGAACCTTTTCTTAAATACAGAGTATAGTAACAGGAATTTTTGAAAATCATATTCATTTTTGTCATTGAGAATTCAGCTTAGACCCAGAGTGTCTAATATGGGCTCAATAATGACACACATTATCTGTATTTGTTTATTTGTAAGGAGCTGCACTGACCTCTCATCTGTTACCTAGTCATTTCATTCCAGGTCTACAAACACCTTTTTGTTTTATATTTAAAGGGTCATATTCTGCATTTTTCAAGTACTTTATTTCTTCCCCAGAGGCCTTACTTACACTATTTTTATGGGTTTTTGTAGAGTTTCCCATACATAGATTATACTTTGGTCATGCACCATAGTATCTGGACACTTGCTCACATATATTTCAACCATTTATTTTTTTTATTTTTAGCATTTTACTACTTTGTTTAAAAAAGCAATATGGTCTGAAGTTGAATATTATGAGATATTAAGTCATTATTTTAAAATAGTAATTAAATACAAAAAAGTAATAATTTCGACTTGTATCATAGTTTTGACAAACTATAATATTTTGGCATACTGCTGTTCCGTCTCTACCTGGCAGTTATTTAACACACCTTTTTGTGCTACACTCAGATATACACAGTGAAAATTAATAATGAATGGCTTTCTGTGCTTCTTCTTACAGAGAAACACTTTCTTTTGGCTAATCATCTATTAGAACGACAATGCTCCACTACTGTCAGAAATGAAAGTTTTGTGTCTTGCACTTTGGCCACAGTAATTCTGGGTCAATTTGTTTTGAGTATCTTTCAGTAAGTTCACTGCACTGAGAAGGGGCTGCCTACAATAACACAGCACAATCATAAGTGTTGAATTATCTCTTTTTCCAAAGTTCATTTGGGTCCAGTTTCACCTCTGGGTGGTCTGTTCTACATGCTTGGCTTATTCAAATAAATAAAGTCTTATTTAACAAACAGCAAGCACAACATTTTACATGAGCTTCAGTTTCAAGGGTAGAGTTGATGTTTATATAGCTTCTGTGGCTTTAATTACTGTTTCACAGGACAAGATAACTTTCAACTGATCAAAAGCTGCCTGGCAATTACTAATCCAGTTAAAACTACTTCTTTAAATAAATTAGTTAGAGGCCCAGTAAGAACTGCAAAGTCTGGCACAAACTTCGAACAGAAGCCACAGATAGATAGACGGATATATACCATTCCTTGGCCAACCTGATGACCTGGGTAGGTTACTTGGCCCCTACCAATTTTACACTTGGACAGAATTGCCATTACATTCACCCTTTGTAACCATTAAAACAGCTAATGTACATGCCACATATGGCACTGTATACCACTACATTATCCAAATAAGTAACTACATTCAAAAGTCCAGCAGAAACCATATTCAGAGCACTCTGGAAAGTAGCAGGAACATTTTTCCGAAGAGAAGAACTTGGCAATGGTAAAGCCCATCCAGCATCACAGAAGCAAAGACCTCCTGAGCCTTTTTCAGGGTACTGGGCAGAAAAGGTTTTTTATCATAGTTTTCAGGGTCTGGTGGCATCTCTCAATTGCCCCTTATGATTATGGATAATATGAGGATGAAGTAATCTGGTAAATCCCCAGTTTACACGTTGCTTCCTGAAACAACCCAGCTACAAAATTAAAGCCCCGATCTGACTGTACTTCTTTCGGCAGCCCAAAATGTGAGAAAAGGTAATCAACCCACCTATGATAGTCCTAGCTTGAATATTCCTCAAAGGCACTGCCTCTGTGAAGAAGTATTAAGGCAAAAAGCAACCACATCCTTATGTAATTAAGGCCAGTAAAATGCCTCAAGCTCAATACCTTTGGCCTTCATTTTGCTTTCACAACTGGTAATGAGTTACCACACAAACAGAAAAACCTCAGGATGTTCTTTCTCAAGAGCCAGAATTTTAGGACTGATACAAGCTATCATCAACACCACAGGTGTTACACAGACCCGGTCACCTGCTAAGTCATTGCCTAGCAAAAAATTAACTCCCCTACTGGCAATGAGGGAACTGGTCCCACAGTCACATAACCCATGATTAACTGAGACCTCAGAAACACAGTGACTCTCCAGTTGCCGTGTTTTACTCCAGACTTGCCAATTCTATTTGTTGCTCCTCTTGCTCCTTCCTTAAAGCCATTTCTCCTTTAAGTCTAGCTTTCTCCACTATCATTTCCCTGTCATGCTGAACATCCAGTCTTTAATGCTAACTGACCCCGTTTTACCAAAAACACAGCCTATACAAGAGCCACTAGTTCCCAATATGACAACCACCAACACTAAACATTACATATACAATCCCTAGACGAGCTACCCAACTGTTACGACCCAAAACTCCTTAACCAGTACTCACTAAATTCCCTGTTTCCCCGATTTTACAGTCCAAGGTTCTACCCAAAGAACGGTTAAGGGGACAGGGCTGAACTTTACTGACCCCAACTGAAGCAAAGGATGTGAGCGTAACCTAATGTAGTGTATGCATCTAATCAAAGCTACTGGCTGGAAAATCCCCCTGGAGAGACACGAACATAGGCCGCAAGCTTGGTGTGTGTCATCATCGTGACTCAGTTCAGGTTTGATATTAAAATAATTTTTAAATCCTAAAGTAGGTAAAACCAAGCAAAAATCCACAAAGACGAAGAGATGAAGAATCACTGGTCAAAACCTGTGCGCTACCTGGCATCTGACGACGGTTTGTGACATCGCCTGCTCTGCTTCCGGAAAACATCTACATAGTGTTTTGTAGCCAGAGCCTCCCTGTGGTTCTGGTTTGAAATATCAGTCACTGTCCCTAACCTAGGGTTTTCCAACACCTGCCAATGCTCACTTCGCAGGTCCAGCAGACCGAACCATGCAGAGACGTCGGGCCAGTCCAAGGCACCATCAATGCACAGGAGTGGATATGAGTCAGGCTTAGTTATAGCATTGAGCCGCTGGTAGTCCACGCAAAACTGCCAACTTTTGTCCTTTTTCTTTTCTAGGACCACCAGTGCTGCCCAAGGGCTACTCGGCATCTCGATAACCTCTGCTGCTGCCATCTCCTTTATTCTCTGTTCAGCAGCCCCTTTCTTTACTAATGGAAGCTGATGGGAACGGAGCCGAATTGGAGCAGCATCACTGGTGTTAATGCTATGCTGCACCAAACTGGTCTATGTACAATCCATCTCTGTAGCTGGGAAACGGGGTAATTTAGTGACTAGGAGTTAAGGAGTATTGGGTTGTAGCAGTTGGGTAGCTCGTCCAGGGATTATGTATGTAATGGTTAGTGTTGGTGGTTGTTGTACATGGAACTCTTGGCTCTTGTATGGGCTGTGTGGTTTGTACAACGACTGAAAAGCTCCCACAATCAGCTAAAACTAACGCACTCTGGTGCCATAACTCATGCACCACTTCCACTGCAGTGAAACGTTCTGCTGTACTCACTGGTACTGTCCTCTACACTGTCCATTGTGCCATTGATGAAGATGGAAGTGCTGCTCATGTGCGCCACCCACAACCCTTGAGGATCAGTTCAAAGTCTCTAGCACTGCATGTTCAGCTCCTCTAGTGCCAATGACTTCACCCACAAAAAGTTGTGGTTCTCTTGCCCTGACATCACACCCAGCCCCTGAGCTTCTGTCCAAGGACACTAGCGCTGCATGTTCAGTTCCTTTAGTGCTAATGATTCCCCTCATGTGGAATGAAGGCTTTGCTGCTAGGGAGCTTCGACCCT